GAACAGGACATGCGCAGTGAAAAATCGATGGATGGATTAAAACAAGTGAGAATATTTTGTTTTATCTGCGAGCCATATGCAATCATCAAAAGAGCCACATCTGGCTCGCGAGCCATAGGTTCCCGACCCCTGACTATACACTACACTATACACTACACTATACACTACACTATACACTAGTGCTGTATTAAATCACGAGTTGGCACGTTCTGTTCACGTGACAAACCCTCTTACTAATTGGTTGTGTCGGGTGGTGTCGGTTTTAACGACACAACATTTATATTGACGCGACGCAACGCCAGAAAAAAACCCTCTCTAATTATGGATCCACAATCTGAATAAAATCCTCCAACGACAAAAACTAAATCTCAAATCGATTAATTAATTTCACGGTGACCTCCTTTGCCAGGACCAAAAACATGAGAAGAGATTTTCCCCTTTTTTCTGGCAACAAAACAGCTGCGTTAAGATGTTAAAACACCAAACTTAAACCTTTTACAAGGATTCATACTCTTTGGTTTAAAGCTTTCGTGACTGCAGGGATTCATATTCTTGGTTCTTTCGGTAAAGTCACCACCACGTAGAAGGGAAACAATAAAATAATAAAAATATAAAACAATAAAATTCTCACGACGTTTCGACTGCAACACAAAGCAGCAATCATCATCAGGTGAGAATTTTATTGTTTCATATTTTTATTATTTTATTGTTTCCCTTCTACGTGGTGACTATACCGAAAGAACCAAGAATAAGGATTCATACTCTTTGGATTTTTCGGTAAAATAACGAAGTAAAAAAAAACAACTAAATTAAATCACGACGTTTCGGAGGCAACACAAGCTTCCTTCATCAGGTGTAAAAAAGGGGCACAGCAAAATAACTGTAGAAGCATTTTGCTGTGCCCCTTGTGATGTAATATAACGTTAGGTAGAGGTAATCTTACCTCAGGCGAGGTAACTTTACCTCAGATAAGGTAACTTTACCTCAGGTGAGGTAACTTTACCTCAGGTAGAGGTAACTTTACCTCAGATGAGGTAACTTTACCTCAGGTGAGGTAACTTTACCTCAGATGAGGTAACTTTACCTCAGGTTGAGGTAATCTTACCTCAGGCGAGGTAACTTTACCTCAGGTGAGGTAACTTTACCTCAGAGATACCATTACCTCAGGTGAGGTAACTTTACCTTAGGCGAGATAACTTTACCTCAGATAGAGGTAACATTACCTCAGAGAGAGGTAACATCACCTCAGGTGAAGTAACTTTACCTCAGGTGAGGTAACTTTGCCTCAGATAGATGTAACTTTACCTCAGGTGAGGTAACTTTACCTCAGATAGAGGTAACTTCACCTTAAGTGAGGTAACATTACCTCAGGTGAGGTAACATTACCTCAGATAGAGATAACTTTACCTCAGGTAGAGGTAACTTTACCTCAGATAGAGGTAACATTACCTCAGGTGAGGTAACTTTACCTCAGATAGAGGTAACTTTACCTCACATAGAGGTAACTTTACCCCAGATAGAGGTAACTTTACCTCAGATAGAGATAACTTTACCTCAGATAGAGATAACTTTACCTCAGATAGAGGTAACTTTACCTCAGATAGAGGTAACTTTACCTCAGGTGAGGTAACTTTACCTCAGGTAGAGGTAACTTTACCTCAGGTAGAGGTAACACTACCTCAGATAGAGGTAACTTTACCTCAGAGGTAACTTTACCTCAGGTGAGGTAACGTTACCTCAGGTGAGGTAACTTTACCTCAGATAGAGGTAAAGTTACCTCAAGTAGAGGTAACTTTACCTCAGGTGAGGTAACTTTACCTCAGATAGAGGTAACTTTACCTCAGGCGAGGTAACTTTACCTCAGATAGAGGTAACTTTACCTCAGGTAGAGGTAACATTACCTCAGGTGAGGTAACTTTACCTCGGATAGAGGTAACATTACCTCAGGCGAGGTAACTTTACCTCAGATAGAGGTAACTTTACCCCAGGTAGAGGTAACATTACCTCAGATAGAGGTAACTTTACCTCAGGTAGAGGTAACTTTACCTCAGATAGAGGTAACTTTACCCCAGATAGAGGTAACTTTACCTCAGATAGAGGTAACTTTACCCCAGATAGAGGTAACGTTGTGTCCAAGTAACCCTCACGTAGTGCAGGCCGTGTGCCACTGTAATCGTTAAACACAACGCTCGCGTGACGTCACCACCTCACTTCACGCGGCAGCCTCGAAGTGCACCCAGCCTGGCACAGGCGCCGTGGGGACGTCACCGTCACTGAGTGGCCAATGGCGGCGGTTGGTGGTGGTGGGGGGGAGTGGGGGGGGAGTGGGGGGGGCATCGGGGGTGGGAGTGAGTGGGGGGTAACGGGGGTGGGGGGTAACGGGGGAGTGGGGGGGGCGAGACGCGTGACGTCACCATGCAGTGACGTGTGAAGTGAAATCTGTAGGGGCGTGTGAATTGAAGTCTGTAGGGGCGTGTGAATTGAAGTCTGTAGCGGCGTGTGAATTGAAGTCTGTAGGGGCGTGTGAATTGAAGTCTGTAGGGGCGTGTGAAGTGAAGTCTGTAGGACAGTGTGATGTGTAAGTTTGTTGCGTCATAGTTTTACCATCCTTGACGTGCAGGGATGACGACTAGGATCGGTGTTGTTAGGATCAGCGGCGAGCAGTTGTGACCAGGTGCTGCTGTGTGTAACGATTACAGATGACAGTGAGGGGGAAAAAGCATTTGATCCCCTGCTGATTTTGTACGTTTGCCCACTGACAAAATAAATGATCAGTCTATAATTTTAACGGTAGGTTTATTTGAACAGTGAGAGACAGAATAACAACAAGAAAATCCAGAAAAACGCGAGTTTAAGAGCCGGGAGCCAACAACAGCTTGGGGCTCGCAATGGCTACAGCGACTATTGTAACGGTCGATGCGGCCTCTGTAACGGTCGAAACGAAACGACATGTCTCTGACCGAATTCGCGAGCCCAAATCAGATTTGAAACATGGCAGAACGAATTTTTCTGGCGTGGCTGATCACTGTTACAACGCTGTGGGTGATCACGATATAGTTTTCTCCGATACCAAGGTTCTATGTAAACCCACGGGTTTCTATCAGAGATTTGTTCACGAGGCAATTCAGATTAACAAACACAGTCACAATTTCAACCGAGAAGATGGCTTCAAATTAAGCAACCATTGGAAAGATGTTCCAAATCGAACAAAACGTTAAAGGAATTTTTAATGGTACAGTATGTTCATTCAATTAGTGGCATCCCAAACTCTCACGGTGGTGCTACTGTATTTTTGATGCTATTTGCGAGCTTGCACAGCTTTACATTTTATGATAATTCCTTTGTCAAAGCGTTTTTTCTGTTTACCCATTCACAGCTTAAAGGAGGCGACCTGCGCTTGACTTTTTCACTCCAACGCTGTCCTCTGGACAGGTTGGTCCCTTCACCTGATGAAGGCCACTTGTGTTGTGGCCGAAACGTCGTGATTTTTGTTTATTTATTTTTTACCTACGTTACTTTACCGAATAGAACCAAAGAGTATGGATCCTTGCAGTCACGAAAGCTTCAAATCTAGAATTAACGACACAATGTTTATGTTTACGAGATCTCGAACCCAATAACAACAAAGACCAAACCTTTGTCACGGAAAAGTGTCACCACAGAGCAAGTCGCTCCCACCTCCTGGAGACACTGACACAGAGCAAGTCGCTGGGACCTCCTGGAGACACCGGCACGGGCTGTGTGAGCTGGGCTGCCTTCACAACCAACGAGACGCCGGCGCTGCCAACTGGGACCAAGACGTCAGCGCTGCCTCCACCGGTCCGGTGAGGTCATTCTCAACAGCAGGTTTTTGTTTTTTTACTTCACTTTACTTTTCCAGGTAAGGCCTCCACTGAGCTGTGTGGTAGCGACCTGCCTATCACAAATGACGGCGGCGCACCGAAATGGCTTGTCACGTGACATTTACAGCAGCCAAATACTCTGAACGCATGTTGAGATGTTAACCACCTCTCCTGGTATACAGGAGATCGTTGGTTCGATTCCGACCCTGATGCCTGCTGTATATTTTGAGTTTGCGCGTCTCTCTCTCTCTCCCTGTGATCGTGTGGATTTTTCTCCAGGTCCTCCGGATTTTCCCTCGACATTTACAATCGAGATCACGCAATCAGAGTATCTGGTCGCAATCAATGTCCACACAATGATGAGCCACTTCGCTGAGCTTTCATTTGTGATGGCCAGGTGGTAGCGTCTGATAAAAGAGCCACTACGTATCCAGTTGGACCTTACTTGGTAAAATCCCAAGATTATTTTTGTTAGTTTAAGTATGTATATATATAATTTTAAACAGAATCACAAACTAACGCTCAACTTTCTTAACCGTGTAAGAGTCAACGCGCGCCACCACCGTGCGACGACACGCGAGCAACCGGGACGATGCAGAGAATCTCTCAACACTTTCACTCGTCCGAGACATCCGCAGAGTTACAGGGTGGGTGTCACCATTCACCACAGAATCCCACGAATTGAGCGAGCGGCTGCTGCTGTTGTTGTTATCAAGACGTCGTTGCTCACCGCAGAGAAGCGTAGCGACACGACCGCCGCCACTCTGCGCTAGCCGGCGCCAAAACTGTGCCACGCTCCCTGCCCCGCGTGGCCCTGTGGGAGCCTCGCTACCGATAAAGTTACTTTAGTTCTCACTGCGTTTCGTTGTTCCGACGACGACGTTCACGCACTGCGAGCGGAGTCGTCGCAACGGCAAAGGGCGAAGTTCACGCCGGGAACATTTTCAACGGGGGAGGCAGCAGCAACAACACGCAGGGCGATCCAAGTGCAGATGCCCCACTCATGCCTACACCCCCCCAAACGCCATCTCAGAATATTTTTTTTCAGACCGCAGGAATCCGATGAGCTGTGAAGCTCTTCTCCGCAGATCTCCAGCCGTTCCACAGATGTCCTCTCCTACCAACCCCCACCCCACCTCCTCCCCGTAGCTTTCCTCTCAGCAGCAAAGTGAATATCGCGCGAGCGATGGCTCGGGGCTACGGGACTGAGTGCACGGAGATTCGTGAGCGGACGCCGCCTTCGTCATCGGCCGCGGTTCGGCCTACCGCTGGATGGGTACGCACTGTACGTACTGTACGTACGTCGCACGGGGCAGGGCTACGAGACGGCACGCGGTGCTCACGGAGACCGGCGGGAGACGTGCAGACTGGGGTATCTGTAGGTGGATCGCCCTGCGGTGCCCCCCTCTAGGGTAACAACAGTGCAGCTCTGCACGGGGGACTCTGCACACTCACACACACAGGGACCCCCAGGTGGTGGGGGTGGAGGTGGGGGACGTGCAGTGGTTGGTACCGAGAACTCCGCACTTGCAATCGAGGGGTGGCCGGGTCGGTTTAATCTCCCGCCCCCCACAGGGTGTGAGGCAGGTGTAGGAGGATTCCGTAGGTTTCCGTGTTCACATTCAAAATCAGTTTCAAGAGTGGCACAGCCTCGGCTAATCACGTGGCCTGTTGTTGGAAACTAATTCACAGCTCGGCGTTGTGCGCTTTGTGCTCAGGATGGCTGACTTTTCTGTTTCCACGTGGATGAGAAAATGCATTCTGGCCGGTGTGTGTTCTCTGGTGGCTGTGAAGAGTTGATGGCCGTGCAAACGCCTTCTCACTCACGGTGCATTTGAACGGCTTCTCTCCCGTGTGTGTTCTCTGATGGCTGTGAAGACTGGATGGGTCTGCAAACGCTTTCTCACACACGGTGCACTTGAACGGCTTCTCTCCCGTGTGTGTTCTCTGGTGGCTGTGAAGAGTTGATGGCCGTGCAAACGCCTTCTCACACACGGTGCACTTGAACGGCTTCTCTCCCGTGTGTGTTCTCTGGTGGCTGTGAAGAGTTGATAGCCGTGCAAACGCCTTCTCACACACGGTGCACTTGAACGGCTTCTCTCCCGTGTGTGTTCTCTGGTGGCTGTGAAGATGTGGTAGTTGTGCAAACGCCTTCTCACACACGGTGCACTTGAACGGCTTCTCTCCCGTGTGTGTTCTCTGGTGCCTGTGAAGATCTGGTAGTTGTGCAAACGCCTTCTCACACACGGTGCACTTGAACGGCTTCTCTCCCGTGTGTGTTCTCTGGTGCCTGTGAAGAGTTGATGGGTCTGCAAACGCCTTCTCACACACGGTGCACTTGAACGGCTTCTCTCCCGTGTGTGTTCTCTGGTGCCTGTGAAGATCTGGTAGTTGTGCAAACGCCTTCTCACACACGGTGCACTTGAACGGTTTCTCTCCCGTGTGTGTTCTCTGGTGTATCTTCAAGCTACTCTTGCGGTCTGTGCTGTATGGACATTGGTCACACTGATGACTTTTGTTACTGGGCTTAGGGGCGTGTCTTTTCTGCACGTGATGCTCTAGACTAGAGCGGCAGATGAACTGACGGTTGCAGGCAGGACACGGCAGCCTTGTGACCTCCACACCCACTCCACCTGCGTCATCCCAGAGGCACAAGACGCACACACCAACACCTAGACATGAACACTCTTGAACACGTGTGTGTGTGTGTATATATAAAGGTAAAGGTCCCCAACAGCCATATCAGACTGTTGGGCAAGTGCTGTTTGCGAGTACCTATGAAGGCCGGCATGGCACAAGAGGGAGTAGGTGGCCAACACCAGGCCCGGCCGCTTTTGTCTCTCCAGTGGCGATGTTTCCACGTTTAAGCTAGGTATTCATTTGAGGCTGAGTCAACCTAGGGGAGGCCTAAACATTCACCACTGACTTTGACCGTGAGTGGGAATCGAACTCAGGTGGCCGGGTTCGTAGTGCAGTGGGCTCCATTCTATATACACACACAGAGACAAAGAACCCCCGTCTAGCCTGTATACACTTTTGGGACAAGTGTTGTTATCGGGCACCGATGAAGGCCAGCACGGCACACGAGTGGGAGGGTGGCCAGCACCACACATGGCCGCCTTTGTCTTCTCAGTGGCGATGTTTACTACTACACACCACACCAGTTACTAACTTGCACCTTATCAGTGTGGGTGGTGCCTATAATCTCTGGTGAGCAGTGGCTATCATCTCTGGTGAGTGGTGGCTATAGTCTGGTGAGCAGTGGCTATCATCTCTGGCGAGTGATGGCTATCATCTCTGGTGAGCGTTGGCTATCATCTCTGGTGATTGGTGGCTATCGTCTCTGGTGAGTGGTGGCTATCATCCCTGGTGAGTGGTGACTATCATCTCTGGTGAGTGGTGGCTATCATTGCTGGTGAGTGGTGGCTATCATCTCTGTTGAGTGGTGGCTATTATCTCTGGTGAGTGGTGGCTATCATCTCTGGTGAGTGGTGGCTATCACCTCTGGTGAGTGGTGGCTATCATTGCTGGTGAGTGGTGGCTATCATCTCTGGTGAGCGGTGGCTATCATCTCTGGTGAGTGGTGGCTATCACCTCTGGTGAGTGGTGGCTATCATTGCTGGTGAGTGGTGGCTATCATCTCTGGTGAGTGGTGGCTATCATCTCTGGTGAGTGGTGGCTATCATCTCTGGTGAGCAGGGGCTATCATCTCTGGTGAGTGGTGGCTATCATCTCTGGTGAGTGGTAGCTATCATCTCTGGAGAGTGGTGGCTATCATCTCTGGTGAGTGGTGGCTATCATGTCTGGTGAGTGGTGGCTATCATATCTGGTGAGTGGTGGCTATCATCTCTGATGAGTGGTGGCTATCAGCTCTGGTGAGGTGGCTATTATTTCTGGTGAGTGGTGGCTATCATCTCTGGTGAGTGGTGGCTATCATCTCTGGTGAGTGGTGGCTATCATCTCTGGTGAGTGGTGGCTATCATCTTTGGTGAGTGGTGGTTATCATCTCTGGTGAGTGGCGGCTATCATCTCTGTTGAGTGGTGGCTATCATCTCTGGTGAGTGATGGCTATCATCTATGGTGTGTGGTGGCTATCATCTCTGCTGAGCGGTGGCTATCATCTCTGGTGAGTGGTTGCTGTCATCTCTGGTGAGCAGAAGCTATCATCTCTGGTAAGTGGTGGCTATCATTGCTGGTGAGTGGTGGCTATCATCTCTGGTGAGTGGTGGCTATCATCTCCGGTGAGTGGTGGCTATCATCTCTGGTGAGTGGTGGCTATCATCTCTGGTGAGCGGTAGCTATCATCTCTGGTGAGTGGTGGCTATCATTGCTGGTGAGTGGTGGCTATCATCTCTGGTGAGTGGTGGCTATCATCTCTGGTGAGTGGTGGCTATCATGTCTGGTGAGTGGTGGCTATCATCTCTGGTGAGTGGTGGCTATCATCTCTGGTGAGTGGTGGCTATCATCTTTGGTGAGTGGTGGCTGTCATCTCTGGTGAGTGTTGGCTATCATATCTGGTGAGTGGTGGCTATCATCTCTGGTGAGTGGTGGCTATCATCTCTGGTGAGGTGGCTATTATTTCTGGTGAGTGGTGGCTATCATCTCTGGTGAGTGGTGGCTATCATCTCTGGTGAGTGGTGGCTATCATCTCTGGTGAGTGGTGGCTATCATCTCTGGTGAGTGGTGGTTATCATCTCTGGTGAGTGGTGGCTATCATCTCTGGTGAGTGGTGGCTATCATCTCTGGTGAGTGATGGCTATCATCTATGGTGTGTGGTGGCTATCATCTCTGCTGAGCGTTGGCTATCATCTCTGGTGAGTGGTTGCTGTCATCTCTGGTGAGCGGAAGCTATCATCTCTGGTGAGTGGTGGCTATCATTGCTGGTGAGTGGTGGCTATCATCTCTGGTGAGTGGTGGCTATCATCTCCGGTGAGTGGTGGCTATCATCTCTGGTGAGTGGTGGCTATCATCTCTGGTGAGCGGTAGCTATCATCTCTGGTGAGTGGTGGCTATCATTGCTGGTGAGTGGTGGCTATCATATCTGGTGAGTGGTGGCTATCATCTCTGGTGAGTGGTGGCTATCATCTCTGGTGAGTGGTGGCTATCATCTCTGGTGAGTGGTGGCTATAGTCTGGTGAGTGGTGGCTATAGTCTGGTGAGCAGTGGTGAGTCTCTGGTGAGCGGTGCTCACAGTGTTCCTCGCTTGGTGGAGGCTGCACGGGCTGCAGGTCTCTGGCGGTGGCCCTGGGAGCCAACTCGCTGCTGCTGCTGCTGCTGCGTCGCGAGGGCCCGGCCTCGCAGGCGATGCCCAGCTCCTGGGCGAACTCCTCGCCGTACCAGACCAGCAGCTCAGAGCCGGGCCCCACGGCACGGAACGTGCGGTAGTAAATCTGCCCCCGGTGCTGGAAGGCCACCAGGTTCTGCTCCTGCTCATTCCTCGCGCAGTTGACGAACCTGCGGGGGCAGACGCGGGGGGCGGGGTGGGCGCCGTTAGCGAGCGCCTATTAAGGGCCGGCACTGGGCGCTACGTGGGGGTGGTGGGGCTGGAACCACGCTCAGTACCGGGTGCTCATTTGATGCAGAGTCGACCAAGGGGAGGCCCAGGGTCTCTGGGTGCAGTGGTTCTGGTCTCTGTGTGTGGTGGTTCTGGTCTCTGTGTGTGGTGGTTCTGGTCTCTGTGTGTCGTGGTTCAGGTCTCTATGTGTAGTGGTTCTGGTCTCTGTGTGTACTGGTTCTGGTCTGTGTGTAGTAGTTCTGGTCTCTGTAGTGGTTCTGGTCTCTGTGTGTGGTGGTTCTGGTCTCTGTGTGTGGTGGTTCTGGTCTCTGTATAGTGGTTCTGGTCTCTGTGTCGTGGTTCTGGTCTCTGTGTGGTGGTTCTGGTCTCTGTAGTGGTTCTGGTTTCTGTATGTAGTAGTGCTGGTCTCTGTGTGTAGTGGTTCTGGTCTCTGTGTGTCGTGGTTCTGGTCTATGTGTAGTGGTTCTGGTCTCTGTGTGTGGTGGTTCTGGTCTCTGTGTGTAGTGGTTCTGGTCTCTGTGTGGTGGTTCTGGTCTCTGTTTGGTGGTTCTGGTCTCTGTAGTGGTTCTGGTCTCTGTGTGGAGTGGTTCTGGTCTCTCTGTGTAGTGGTCCTTAAGACACGAATCACCTCATCCAATTTGATTTTGATTCATCCTGAGCATCAACATATTCACGATCCTTTTTGTTTTTGTAAATCTGAAACACACACGCACACGAGCAGATCCACGGATAATTCATGTGAGTTGGACCGTAACTTGAACTTCTTTCGTACCGGACGTAGCCAACCGTGCTGATCGGAGGTGCGGGGGGAAGGACAACAAACTAAACACTAAGAGCAGTTCTAAAGAAATGAATTTTAAACGAGATCAGCGGCGAGGTGTCGTGGTTTATTTTTGCGTAAGGAGCGCGTGAGATGGAACCACGCGTCTGTGGTTCCTCCTCGCGCATCGAAGTTGTTCTGTCCTTGCGAGCGAGCGGCTGCTGTGGGTTACAAGTTGAACTCATAATGACGTTAAATTTTGGGTCTCTCTATGAATCTGTGGGTCTCTGTGTGAGTCTCTGGGTCTCTGTGCGAGACTTTGAGTCTCTGTGAAAGTCTCTGGGTCTCTCTGTGCCAGTCTCTGGGTCTCTGTGTGAGTCTCTGGGTCTCTGTGCGAGACTTTGGGTCTCTGTGCGAGTCTCTAGGTCTCTGTGCAAGCCTCTAGGGCTCTGTGCGAGACTTTGGGTCCCTGTGCGAGTCTCTAGGTCTCCGTGCGAGTCTCTGGGTCTCTTCTGTGTGAGTCTGTGGGTGACTGTGTGAAGCTATGGGTTTCTCTGTATCTCCCTCACGAGCCTCCTCTCCACACACACGACGTCGATGATGATGTAGGAATAGGAGAAGGCTGCAGCAGTGGCAGTGGCAGCAGCATCAGCAGCAGCTCACCAGCCAGCAGTACTCGCTCACGGGGTTCTCCTCAGACACCTCTCCCTGGTAGGGCCCAAACATCACCCCCTTGGGCAGCTTCTTCCTGTTGCTCCACACCCCGAGGCCGGCGCCGGCGATGGAGGAGGCGCCGACGGTGAGGCCCTGGGGCAGGCTGAGCCGGGCCCTGTCGGCCACTCCCGGGGTCACGGCCGCGTCCGCGATGAACTCTGGCGGGCCGTGCACGGAGCACTCCCCCAGGTAGAAATCCCTGCACAGCTCGCAGACTGAGAGCCACAGCAGCAGCAGTAGCAGGAGGGGGGCGAATCGCAGTAGCAGCAGCAGCAGCAGTGGCACTGTGAGAGAGTGAGAGGGTGAGGAGCGCTCCAGACAGATGCCTCCCTCCCTCCCTCTCTGCATGGTGAACTTATTTAGCTCGCTCATCGGAGATGTATCCCCTGTCACCCTCCCTGCATCCCTCCCCTCCCTCCCTGCATCCCTGAGCGAGGGAGCAAAAGAGAGAGAGGTGAGTGAGAGTGCGAGAAAGGGAGCGTGTGAGAGGGAGGGCAAGGGGGAGAGAGTGAGAGGGAGCAGGTGGAATATATCGAGTAAGAGCGCGGGAGCAATAGAGGGAGATAGGTGAGAGTGTGAGAAAGTGAGAGTGTAACAAAGTGAGAGAGATAGGTGAGAGTGTGAGACAGTGAGAGTGTAACAAAGAGAGAGAGATAGGTGAGAGTGTGAGACAGTGAGAGTGTAACAAAGTGAGAGAGATAGGTGAGAGTGTGAGACAGTGAGAGTGTAACAAAGTGAGAGAGATAGGTGAGAGTGTGAGACAGTGAGAGTGTAACAAAGTTAGAGAGATAGGAGAGAGTGTGAGACAGTGAGAGTGTAACAAAGTGAGAGAGATAGGAGAGAGTGTGAGACAGTGAGAGTGTAACAAAGCGAGAGAGATGGGTGAGAGTGTGAGACAGTGAGAGTGTAACAAAGTGAGAGAGATAGGTGAGAGTGTGAGACAGTGAGAGTGTAACAAAGCGAGAGAGATAGGTGAGAGTGTGAGACAGTGAGAGTGTAACAAAGTGAGAGAGATAGTTGAGAATGTGACAGTGAGTGACTGAGACAGTGAGAGAGAGAGGTAGAGGGAGCAGGGGTCTCACAGAAGAAGTCGTCGTCCTGGGGCTCCTCCACCTCTGTGTAGACTTTCCTCTCGCGCTGCCGCAGGCCGTAGCGAGAGCGAGCGCTGAGCGACACCGCCGCAGCCTGGGCGGAGGAGGCCGGCGGCACGGAGGAGCCTGCGGGCAAACGCGGCGAGATGTTGACTCCCTCACGTGGTCTATGAGAGGTCGTGGAAGCGATCCCGACCCTGACGACTCACCCTGTACGTGTGGAGTCTGCGTGTTGTACCTCCCCGTGGTTGCGTGGATTCCGGTGAGAATAGAGGGGAGCGTGGAGTTCCGGTGAGAATAGAGGGGAGCGTGGAGTTCCGGTGAGAATAGAGGGGGAGCGTGGAGTTCCAGTGAGAATAGAGGGGAGCGTGGAGTTCCGGTGAGAATAGAGGGGAGTGTGGAGTTCCGGTGAGAATAGAGGGGAGTGTGGAGTTCCGGTGAGAATAGATGGGAGCGTGGAGTTCCGGTGAGAATAGAGTGGAGTGTGGAGTTCCGGTGAGAATAGAGGGGAGCGTGGAGTTCCGAAGAGAATAGAGGGGAGCGTGGAGTTCCGGTGAGAATAGAGGGGAGTGTGGAGTTCCGGTGAGAATAGAGGGGAGCGTGGAGTTCCGGTGAGAATAGAGGGGAGCGTGGAGTTCCGGTGAGAATAGAGGGGGAGCGTGGAGTTCCAGTGAGAATAGAGGGGAGCGTGGAGTTCCGGTGAGAATAGAGGGGAGTGTGGAGTTCCGGTGAGAATAGAGGGGAGTGTGGAGTTCCGGTGAGAATAGATGGGAGCGTGGAGTTCCGGTGAGAATAGAGTGGAGTGTGGAGTTCCGGTGAGAATAGAGGGGAGCGTGGAGTTCCGAGTGAGAATAGAGGGGAGTGTGGAGTTCCGGTGAGAATAGAGGGGAGTGTGGAGTTCCGGTGAGAATAGAGGGGAACGTGGAGTTCCGGTGAGAATAGAGGGGAGCGTGGAGTTCCGGTGAGAATAGAGGGGAGTGTGGAGTTCCGGTGAGAATAGAGGGGGAGCGTGGAGTTCCGGTGAGAATAGAGGGAGCGTGGAGTTCCGATGAGAATAGAGGGGAGTGTGGAGTTCCGGTGAGAATAGAGGGGAGCGTGGAGTTCCAGTGAGAATAGAGGAGCGTGGAGTTCCGGTGAGAATAGAGGGGAGCGTGGAGTTCCGGTGAGAATAGAGGGGAACGTGGAGTTCCGGTGAGAATAGAGGGGAGCATGGAGTTCCGGTGAGAATAGAGGGGAGTGTGGAGTTCCGGTGAGAATAGAGGGGGAGCGTGGAGTTCCGGTGAGAATAGAGGGGAACGTGGAGTTCCGGTGAGAATAGAGGGGAGTGTGGAGTTCCGGTGAGAATAGAGGGGAGTGTGGAGTTCCGGTGAGAATAGAGGGGGAGCGTGGAGTTCCGGTGAGAATAGAGGGGAGCGCGGAGTTCCGGTGAGAATAGAGGGGAGTGTGGAGTTCCGGTGAGAATAGATGGGAGCGTGGAGTTCCGGTGAGAATAGAGTGGAGTGTGGAGTTCCGGTGAGAATAGAGGGGAGCGTGGAGTTCCGGTGGGAATAGAGGTGGAGCGTGGAGTTCCGGCTGGAATAGAGGTGGAGTGTGGAGTTCCGATGAGAATAGAGGTGGAGTGTGGAGTTCCGGTGAGAATAGAGGGGAGCGTGGAGTTCTGGTGTGAATAGAGGGGAGCGTGGAGTTGCGGTGTGAATAGAAATCACCGCTGCAGGCTACGCACCTCCACGTATCCTCTGGAGCACCACCCTCAGGGCCTCCTTGCAGGCGGTGGCTCTGCGCTCCAGCCTGAACATCGCCATCCTGGCCTTGTGCACCTCCCTCAGCTCAAATCCCCTGAACTCCTCCTCCTGCTGCTGCTCCTCCTCCACGCCCTGCAAGATGCTCCACACGTACTCCAGGGCTTCCGCTTTAGTCTGAGCGGAGGGGGCGGTGGGGTGAGGGGTCGGAAGGGGGTGTGGGGGACAGAGTTGGTGCGGTGACCAGCGGTGGCTAGGAGATGTTCACTCCCTCGCCTGGTACGCAGGAGGTCGCGGGTTCGATCTCGACCCTGACACCTCATCGGATTCCTCCAGTACAATACATATTCTAATTCTGATATTCTGATTCTGTATATCTGATTCCATACATCACGCAGAACCATGCCGTCGTCATGCTGAACCTCGGTGGGTATGGCAGGCCAAGCCTCTTCTACGAAAAGTAAAAAGTAATAAAATACAAATTAAGATTCTTCCACTGATCTGTATTTCGTCATTTCTGTACGACTCCAATAATTTTGATCGTCAAAATCGCCAAATTTGCGGAGCTCCGCTGCAAATACAGGGAGACGAGAGGTGAGGCAGCGACGAGCTCAGCCTCCCCTCTGATTGCGCAACCCCTCAGAAACTGGATGGAGCGCGGGCAATAAGCGCGTGCCTGTTACTATCTCTCTGTAATGATTGGAATTATACAGAAATGACATTTATAACAGAGCAGTGGAAATTTTTATTTTTTACTTTTCGTAACAGCTATTTTCATTGGAGTATATGACAGGTGAGGCTCAAGCCTCGCCTGCCTCCCCTGACCGCACGTCCCTGGTATAGTAGTGTTTAGTAGTCCGTACGTATGTTGAATTTCTTTGGCACCGTACGTAGCCAACCTCGCTAATGGGAGGTGCGTGGGAAGGTCAACAAACTAAAGACAACAACAACAGCAGCTGTAACGAGAGGAGTGCCGTGCGCTGTGCACAGAGACCTTGCGCTTGCTGGGAGCTGCCCTCGCGTGCGACTCTCCCACGGTAGCCCAGCGTGAAGCAGCCCCCTTGCCTCCTCCTGCGTGAACACACGCACACACGTGTGAACACACGCACACACGTGTGAATACACACACGTGAACACACGCACGTGTGAACACACGCACACACGTGAAAACACGCACACACGTGAACACACGCACGTGAACACACGCACACACGTGTGAACACACGCACACACACGTGAACACACGCACGCACGTGTGAACCCACACACACATGAACACACGCACACAAGTGAACACACGCACACACGTGTCCATGTGTGTGAACACATGGATACCCGTTAACACACGCACACACGTGTGAACACACCCACGTGTGTATTTACGCATGCAGGCATTTACTCACTCACATATTTACAAATAAATTAATGATCTCCCTTGTGCAGCCTTAACAGACTGTTATCACAGGACAGAACCAGGTTCCATGGGTTGGGGGTCTCTGTGTGAGTCTACAGGGGTCTCTGTGTGAGTCTACAGGGGGTCTCTTCGTGAGTCTTCAGGGGGCCTCTGCATGAGTCTACAGGGGTCTTTGTGTGAATCTACAGGGCGCTCTGTGTGAGTCTACAGGGGGTCTCTGTGTGAGTCTACAGGTGGTCTCTGTGTGAGTCTACAGGGGGTCTCTGTGTGAGTCTACAGGGGGCCTCTGTGTGAGTCTACAGGGGTCCCTGTGTGAGTCTACAGGGGTCTCTGTGTGAGTTTACAGGGGTCTCTGTGTGAGTCTACAGGGGGTCTCTGTGTGAGTCTACACAGGTCTGTGTGAGTCTACAGGGGGTCTCTGTGTTAGTCTACACGGGTCTCTGTGTGAGTCTACAGGGGGTCTCTGTGTGAGTCTACAGGGGGTCTCTGTGCGAGTCTACAGGGGTCTCTGTGTGAGTTTACAGGGGTCTCTGTGTGAGTCTACAGGGGTCTCTGCGTGAGTCTACAGGGGGTCTCTGTGTGAGTCTACGGGGGGTCTCTGTGTGAGTCTACAGGGGTCTCTGTGTGAGTCTACAGGGGTCTCTGTGTGAGTCTACAGGGGGTCTCTGTGTGAGTCTACAGGGGGTCTCTGTGTGAGTCTACAGGGGGTCTCTGTGTGAGTCTACAGGGGGTCTCTGTGTGAGTCTACAGGGGGTCTCTGTGTGAGTTTACAGGGGTCTCTGTGTGAGTCTACAGGGGGTCTCTGTATGAGTCTACAGGGGTCTCTGTGTGAGTCTACAGGGGGTCTCTGTGTGAGTCTGCAGGGGGTCTCTGCGTGAGTCTACAGGGGTCTCTGTGTGAGTCTACAGGGGGTCTCTGTGTGAGTCTACAGGGGGTCTCTATATGAGTCTACAGGGAGTCTCTGTATGAGTCTACAGGGAGTCTTTGTATGAGTCTACAGGGGGTCTCTGTGTGAGTCTAAAGGGGGTCTCTGCGTGAGTCTACAGGGGTCTCTGTGTGAGTCTACAGGGGGTTTCTGCACGCTGTGCAAGCGCCCTTTTACGTTTGCCTCCTCCGCCTCTTCGTCCTCCGTGCACCGCCACCTCCTTCCTCTTCCTCCTCCTCGTCCATTCCTCGTCGGAGTCGCTCGACCGCCCGCACTCCGCTCCATTCCCCCTCGCCCTGCGCTTGCCGCGTGCGCGCATGAACTCGGGCTGGGCCGGGTTCATCCCTGCGCAAGGAGGCAGTCGGTCATTGTTATTTGGACGTATTGGCGGTACACCGGTGCAGCATAGCGACACACCGGTTCCTCGTAACACAGTCCTGACGATGTGATTATTATCGGAGAGTGTTTGTTTGTCGTGTTCGCCACAAGCACGCGTGGTTAATGCAGTAGCTTTGATTCCTTGCAAAAGGAATAATCTATTTGGTGTGTGGACATCTTAACGCCTCCCTCCTGTTTGATTGCCAGAAAGGGAAAAATCGATTTTTATTTTTCACACTTTGATACTCGCAAAAAGGTCCCGTCATGTAGCTGCTCATCCCGAGCTATCAATGCTCTCGATGCTGCATTGTCTTTGTACCGGTCGCCTTTTGGTGTTGTTCTCTGGTCTGACACTGGTGAGACTAGACCATGAAGAAGGCTGTCTCTGGGGTAGACCAATCAGTTTCAAAGACAACGATTAAATATTATCAGAGAGTGTTTGTTTGTCGTGTTCGCCACAAGTACGCGTGGTTAATGCGGTAACTTGATTCCTTGCAAAAGCTACAATCTATCTGGTGTTTGAACATCTTAACCGCCTCCTGTTTCATTCCCCTAAAGCGTAAAACCTATTCTTATTTTTCACAGTCCCGACGGCGTCGCTGTCGCCCCTTGAGTGAGCTGCAGGACTCTCCGTCAGAAGTTGCACTCAGATTCAGCAGCCGCGTCCCCCATTCCGAACGTGCGGTGGCGACACCACGAGTCGTATCGAGGAACCGTCCCACCGAGTCTCTAGGGGCACGAGGAGTCAAATCTTGCCGCTGGAGCACGGAGCAGCCGCTGGAGCACAGAGCAGCAGATCGTCATCACACTGGGCACGACTGGAGCACGGAGCAGCAGATCGTCATCAGACTGGGCGCCGCTGTACGTCAACAGACTGCGAAGCTTCGTGTTCAATTCTGCTCGTGTCACGTTCCGTCTTCCTGCCACTACGGCATCACGACAACTGATTTTGACGCACCACCACCACTACCACCACCAACCCGAAATATCCTTCTGTCCGGTGTCTCGAATCGCGAGGAAAAAAACGTAATTATTGCCAAAAATGTGCTGATTATTTTACACAGCGTAACGGTGTACCACCGCCACTACGTTCATCTATATAATGTGGCTGCTACAACAACACCAAGCAATACAGTAAACACGATAGGAGTGCAAAGTATAGGAAAGGTAAACAAATCACACACACACACAAAATAAACTATTTTTGTAAATGTTGTGGGTTTACTCTCCAACATTAGGAATCCGATGAGCTATGAAGCTCTTTTTCACAGATGTCCCATAGGGGGCACGGGGCCAGGAAAGTTACAACAATGACACAATACACAAACTAAATCTATTTTTACTTCACCAAGTGAAGTCCACTGAGCTATCGGCTTCTTCTTCAGAAGCCACCTGGCTGCCACAAATGACAGCTCAACCAAGTGGCTCACCACGTGGACATTTACAGCAGCAGCCAAATACGTTAAACGCGTGATGTTGATTCTACATTGTGGAGCGACAACCCAGAGGACAGGCATCGAACCCACGACCTCCTGTAGACCAGGCGAGGTAGTTAACATCTCACCGGGGAGAGACACACGCAGACTCCAGATATATGACAGCCATCGTCAGGGTCGGCATCAAACCCACGACATCCTGTAGAACAGGCGAGGTAGTTAACATCTCACCGGGGAGAGACACACGCAGACTCCAGATATGTGACAGGCATCGTCAGGGTCGGCATCGAACCCACGACCTCCTGTAGACCAGGCGAGGTAGTTAACATCTCATAGCCACCGTGGCGCCCCGTGCATGGCACTCTGCTACGACGTTCTGGTCTCATTATCATTATAATCACTACGACAATTAGTTTATTTGTGAAGAGGCTCGGGCCTGCCGTACCCACCGAGGTTCAGCATGACGGCGTGGTTCTGCTTGATGTTCCTGTAGCGCCGCTTCTCGCACTCGGCCAGGTCGCTCCACTCGGCCTTGGTGAAGAAGCCTCTGATGTCTCGGAAGTCGCCCATCTCCTGCTGCTGAGGCGCAGAGACACGGAGGGGACGAGACGCGGACGACGGTCAGACGCAGTCACGGAGAAGCAGTCACGGAGACGGAGTCACACGGATAGCGAGTCACGGAGATGGAGTCACACGGATAGCGAGTCACGGAGAAGGAGTCACACGGATAGCGAGTCACAGGGATACGAGACAAAGATCCCCCGTGTGGCCTTAACAGACTGTCTGGGCAAGCGCTGTTAGCGAGCAGCGCCTATGAAGGCCGGAACGACGCGCGAGGGGGTGGGTGGCCAGCACCACGCCCGGCCGCCTTTGTCTCCCCAGTGGCGATGTTCACTACTTCACACTCGCTACACCGGGTGCTCATTTGAGGCTGAGTCGACCTAGGGGACGAGGCCCAGGACCGGGTTAGAAGATCGTCGCCGGTGTTGGCCGAGCGCTGCGCTACGAAGCCGGCAGAGACCCGAGTTCCATTCCCGCTCACGGCCACCACCAACAGCGGTGACGATCATCTGAACCGGTCCTGGGACCTCGTCCCCTAGGTCGACTCGGCCTCAAATGAGCACCCGGTGTAGCGGTGTGTGAACATCGCCACTGGGGAGACAAAGGCGGCCGGGCGTGGTGCTGGCCACCCACCCCCTCGTGTGCCACAGTGCCGGTAGCCTTAATGGGTGCTGCTCACTAACAGCCTGTTAGAGGCTACACGGGGGATCTTTGTCTTTGTGGTAAAGTGTGGGGACTCCCCACCTCTACCATGACGTACTAGCTCCAGATAGAGGTAACTTTACCCCACGTTAGTTAAATTTACCTCAGGTGAGGTAACTTTACCTCAGGTGAGATAACTTTACCTCAGGTGAGGTTACATTACGTTAGAGGTAAATTTACCTCAGATGCGGTAACTTTACCTCATGTGAGCTAACTTTACCTCATGTGAGCTAACTTTACCTCAGGTGAGGTAACTTTACCACAAATGAGATTACTTTACCTCAAGTGAGGTAACATTACGTTAGGTAGAGGTAACTTTACCTCAGGTGAGATAACTTTACCTCAGGGGAGGTAACTTTACCTCAGATGAGGTAACTTTACCTCAGGCCAGGTAACTTTACCTCAAGCAGAGGTAAAATTACCTCAGGCAGAGGTAAAAATACCTCAGGTGAAGTAACATCTCAAGAGAGATAACTTTACCTCATGCGAGGTAACATTACCTTTGGTGAAGTAAAATTACTTCAGGTGAGGTAACTTTTCTTGAGGTGAAGTAACTTTACCTCAGGTAGAGGTAACATTACCCCACGTTAGTTAAATTTACCTCAGGTGAGATAACTTTACCTCAAGTGAGGTAACATTACGTTAGGTAGAGGTAACTTTACCTCAGGTGAGGTAACATTACCTCAGGTAGAGGAAACTTTACCTCAGATGAGGTAACTTTACCTTAGGCGAGGTAAATTTACCTCAGGTAAAGTAACAGTATCTCAAATGAGGTAACTTCTCATTTGAGATAATGCGAGGTAACATTACCTTAGGTGAAGTTGAATTACTTCAGTTGAGGTAACTCTTCCTGAGGTGAAGTTACTTTACCTCAAGTGAGGTAACATTACGTTAGGTAGAGGTAACTTTACCTCAGGTGAGGTAACGTTACCTCAGGTGAGATAACTTTACCTCAGGTGAGGTAACATTACCTCACTGAGGGCAAGGTAATCAGAATGTGATGCAATCCGAATAAAATCACGTTATATTATAAGGTAATCTTCACCGCGACATTCTCATTCAGTGCAAAGTAAATATTGTACAATTAATTAGTCGCTCGTGTCAACACTGTACTAGATGTGGAGCTGTAATCGTAACGTGAAGTCGTCTCGTAGCGTAAATCTTACACGATTTTAAATACGGACTGCAATGTAACCCCCGTGTAATGTAACCCTTATAATAATCGCCGTGCAATGCAATCCAAATGTAATCCTTTATATAAGGTAACATTACCTCAGGTGATGTAACTTGTAATTCCCGTATAATGTATTGTGAATGTAATATCCGTGTAATGCGACCCAAATGCAATCCCCGTATAATGTAATCCCCATATAACGTAATCCCCGTGTAATGTAATCCCCGTGTAATGTAATCCCCGTGTAATGTAATCCCCGTGTAATGTAGTCCCCGTGTAATGTAATCCCCGTGTAATGTAATCCCCGTATAATGTAACCCCAGTGTGATGTAATCCCCATGTAATGTAATCCCCGTGTAATGTAATCCCCGTGTAATGTAATCTCCGTGTAATGTAATCCCCGTGTAATGTAACGTCCTTGCCTCTGTGGGAGCTGACGCCATTGACGCGGCTTCTCCCTTCCTTGGCTCGGCGCGGGAAAATTCGAATGGGGGAGTGGGGGGTGGAGGTGGGGGGAGTGGGGGTGGGGTGGGGGGTGGGGGGGTGAAGGTGAGGAGGGGTGGGGGAGTTTAGGGAGTGGGGGTCGAGAGGAGTGTGGGGGGGTGGGGGTTGTGGGGGGTGAGGGAGACGTATGACGTCATCGCGCTTTGATCCCAACAGACTCCGAGGGGGGAGATGCGATACGGGTGACGTCACCACACAATGATGTAATCAGATTTTTTTTAAAAATAAATCTGAATCTTTATGGTGTAGGGGGTATCCGATAAGCTATGAAGCTCTTTGTGTCACAGATATTCAGTAAGGGGCACAATCTGGCTGTCCGCCTGATGATGCTGGTTGTGATTACTGGCGAAACGTCTTACTCAGATTTATAAATGTTGTGGATTTGCTCTCCAACACACAACCGGTGTAGTGCTACATTATACACTACACTATACACTACACTATACACTACACTACTATACACTACTATCCACTAC